CCATTCGACTCGTCGTTATGAGACGATTCCAACGAGCTATGGGGCATCTTTCTACGATCATTGGATGCCGAGTTATTATGTGAAACGTCAAACGGCGCAGGATCACAAAATACAAAATGCTGATTTTTGACGTTTCGTTAAATATCTCGGCATCCAGTGATTGTAGAAAGACGATCTAACTATCATTCGACTCGTCGTTATGAGACGATTCCAACGAGCTATGGCGCATCTTTCTACGATCATTAGATGCCGAGTTATTATGTGAAACGTAATATTTTTAGGTTTCAATAATTTCGACATGTCGAAACTATTTCAGCATTTCGGCATTTTGACAGGTTTTAGTTTCAACATTTCGACAATGGCCTGTAGAGTTTCGGCAGGCAACTTTAATCATCAGTACCAAAAAAACTAGAGGATAGTCATGGCACCGGTTTGTTTTCATAAAAGTAGGTAAAATATTTTTTTTTTTGTAACCAAATGCTTGCAAATGAAATAGGGACTACGGGAATATGCTGGGCAAGAACATATCCAGTTAATTATATCAATATGATATCTCTCATCCATGCCAGATTCAATATCTTTATTTACAGCTTTGTTCCAGTCTTTCTTAAAGGTTTGCCACCATACTGGAAAGTCACATTTTATATAGTACTGAGTCAGTTTGAGATCAGAATCTGGCACTAACTGCTCAACAAAAATCTGTATAAGCCGATCAAGATGTGGCTGATTATAAGGATTATAAAGTTTTAGTGTAGCAAGACACGCTATTTTACTGGAATTACTGGTGACAAATGTACTGTACTTAGGTGTAACAGTATGGCCGATCGAAAAAATTTGACTCTATCATATGTAAATATATAATAGATTATGTGATTAATCAACTCGAGTGAAGGTTCCCACTGAAACATTGTGTGTACAGATCACAGAACGTTAAAAATAATATTGATTTTTCTTATTATATTAGAAGAGCTTCTATCAGTTCTAAAATCTTAATTTTGATATTATATTTCTTAATTCTGTGTGAGTTCTCCAACTTCAGAAAACATATTGATTTTTATTAATATATTAGAAAAGCTTCTAACGACTTTAGAATCTTAATTTCTATATCAACTTTTCAGTTATATTTATTAAATTTAACGAAAATTATTATATCAGGAATTGATTTTGCGCATGTTAGCTTTTTAAATAGCATATTAACTATTTAAGTCTAACGAATTTAAGTCTAACCGTCCTTATTACCCCATAAATAAATTTAACGATTTTCTTAAGTCTAATGAAAAATAATAAAATAAGTCTAACAATCCTTATTACCCCATAAATAAGTCTAACAAAAAATCATGTGACTTTTTAAATCTAAAGAACTTTTCTATATACAAGAATGCCTTCTGTACAAGCTAGCTCATTAAATAGCATAATTGTTAAATAAATCTAACGGGATTTTTATCCTAACTTTTCCTTAATTAAGAATAGGTTCAATGCAGGCTAGCTTATTAAATAGCATATTTTATATAAAAGTCTAATGAAATATCATCCTATAAAAATCTAGAAGAAATTCGCGAGAATTGTTCCAATTTTTCCTTAGTCAAAAACAGGTTCTGCGCAGGATAGCTTAGTAAATATCATAATGATTAAATTAATCTAATGAAAATAATTCTAATATTTCCCTGAAAAATCTGCGGAATTGTTCCAACTTTTCTTTAGTCAAGAACAGGTTCAGCACAAGCTAACTCATCAAATAGTATAATAATTTAACAAAAAATTTAAATCTAACTATTCTGTCCTGCTGGGAATTTTATAGGTCTAACAAGAAATATATATCAGGAATTGACTTCGCATTGGCTAACTTCTTATCTAATACATTATTTATTTAAGTCTAACGATTCTGTCCTGCCAGGAATTAGGGGTTCGATCCGATTTTTTAAAGGCAATCCAGATTAAATTCGGATTTCATTTACTGTATCCATTAAATCTGGTTGATAATCCGGATTTGAAAATTATACGGATAATCCATAAGTTCCGGATCAATCTGATCAACTCGGATTTAGGAAATCAAAATTCTTTTATTTTAAAACCGTGAGAAATAATTTTACTTTATTGAAGAAAGTTTATTCACTTTATTGAAGAGACTTTATTGAAATACTTCATTTACAATATTTTATTAAAAAACCTTTATTAAAAAAACCTAATCTATCTCAACATGACTTGTTTCATCTTCGTCCCATTCTGATGCAAAAACATGCATTGTTTTAATATTTCATTTTAAAAATAGTATTTTAGCCACTAAATTTGTGTCTAAATTTATCCTTTTAGCATTGATAAGATTTCCGGCATCTGAGAACAACCGCTCACTTGACACTGACGTCGCAGGAACTGCAAGATATTTTCGGGAAATTCTGGCAAGTTTTGGAAACATTTGCAACCGTAATTTCCACCAAATTAAAGGATTTTCGGTTTCCAATGCTAATGGTAATGTCAAATAATTTGTAATTTCATCAACAATTGGTGTGCTTGAATATGATTTATCTCCCTTTTTATTTTTTATTTGCCGTCATTGACGATATTCTTTATGTGAACGTGAAGGTTCTGCATCATATGAAGCTGGGTTGTTTAATGGTTCAGATGCTGGTATTTTCACTTCACCAAATTCACTGCGGAGTTTTTGGATAATTCGTTATTTTTTTCCTCATCTAGGAAATCCAAGCTTTTATAACGAGGATCTAATAAAGCTGCCATTAAACCAAGATCATTTGGAATATTCCAGTAAAATATCAATGCACTATAAATATTTTGTTTTACTTTTTCCAAAACGCCTACTGTATTTAATGGATTTTTAATTGAAATCTTATTCTTTGTAATATTACTTATAATTTCATCATCATCAAAGTCAGTTTGTTGTGTTTCTACAGCTTCTGATTCAAATACAGTATCCTCATTTGAAAAATCATCACTATTTAACAGTACTTCAGTAGCTAAATCAAAAATCATTTCTTTAATTGTTGGAATAACTCGACTTAAGGTAATATATGAATTTCCAGAAAATTCACGTGTTGCCTCCTCAAATGGCATTAGCAAATCAACAAGTTGATCTAACAACTCCCATTCATCATCATTAAGTAACAATCTCTTCAATCTATTACCATCTTTCTTGATTTCCCGATCTGTTGACATGGATAAATCAGTCTGTAGTTGAATAATAGCATCCTTTAAAAAAAATAAACGATCCCAAGCATAATAAGACGAGTTCCATCATGTAGATACATTTTGAATACAACGCAAAATATCTTTATAGCCAAGTTTTCTCTGCACCTGCTCTAACCTTTCCACCTGTTTTTGATATTGAAAAAAATTAATTAGTCTTATTGCACGTGCTACTAAAATCTCAACTGAAGCCAATCCCTTTCCGATTGCCAATTGAAGAGTGTGTACTGTACAAGGAAGGCGCTGGATATTTTCACACCCATTTTTCTGATTTAAGAAAGGAAAAATTGCCACCATATTGGATCCGTTGTCAGTGGTAATTGAAGTTACATGATTTTAAAGATTCCAAGTTTCAATACACTGGTGAAGTTCATTGGCAATAATTTCACTGGTATGTGGAGAAGAAACATATTTGTTTTCTAACATTGTATCTTTGATTTCAAAATTTGATGTAATCCAGGTTGCAGTAACTCCTAAATACCCATGCTTGGCTTTACTAGACCAAAGATCAATTGTAAGAGAGACATTTTCAGCAGTATTGGTAAGAAGATTTTGCAAATTTTCCCGATTAAATTTGTAACTCTTAACGATCATTGTCCTGATTTTTTTTTCTCCTGGAATAATGAAGGAAGGATCGAATTCTGCCATTTTTTCTTTGTAGGCTTCATTAGTAACTGCAGAAAGAGGTTGATTTGTGAGCAACATCCATTTAAGGGTCGCTTCTTAAAATCTTTTTTGAATATGATTAGGATGAGGTTTATGACTTCGTGCAAAATCAGTAATTTTAGAGTTTCACGGCTAAAAATTAACATTATGAAGTATTTAAAAAAAAATTTAATAAATACTCAACAGTCAATATTAAATTTACCTTTTTTGAAATATCTGCATCATCATCTGGTACAATATTATGTTTATCTCTAAGATGCATGATCAAATTGCCCGTTGAACTTCCACTTCTTCCACATTTATATTCTTGACCACATTTTATTCCATTTTTATCTAAAATATTGCAAACTCGGATCTCTTCACCTTTATCATTAGCCTTTTTTTCAAAATACTCCTGAGTAAATGATGGTTTTTTACGCTTATATTTAATATTAGTCTCAGGAAGTTCGCCTAGATAAAAAAAAAATTAATTATATTAATAATATAAATAATAATTTATTGCAATTTAATAAATTTATAATCTTTAAAAATTTAAACTCTACCTTTTTCTTTGATTTCTGAGGATATTGTAGAAAAGGGAAGGGTTCTTTGAATGGCGTGTAGTTTTCTAGTAATTACTGACTCATGTGAAGTTTTTGAACTTTCAGGTGCTTAGATTTGCTGTTCTAACACAACATCCGTCATCTCAAAGTTAAAATCTTCATTGGGATAAAAATCTGAACTATCTGCCATAATAGAGGTTTTACATTTCAGAAAAAAAAATAGTTGGGCAAGTTCCGTAAGAAATAAAGGAGTGAAAATAAAAATGGTATGGGAGTAAATGGAATATAATAAAAATAGGGATAAGATAACGTGAAAATGATCCAAAATGAGAAAAATTAATTGCAAAAAAAAGATAAATCATTAAATTAAATATTAGGATTAAAAGACCAACATAATTTTTATTTAAAAATTAAAATTTAAATTTTGAAAAAAAATTTTTTTCGATCCCAATAATTTATATTATTACAATCCGGATTATAATCTGGATGATCAACAATCCTTAATCCGATAATTTTACGGATCCATCCGCCAGAAATCATCGGATGAGGATATCCAATTTTAATTTGGATGATCAGATCAATCCGAATTTACCGGATTACGGATCGAACCAGCGTGGAAAAAAACCTTGGAAAAATTTCGGAAAAATTCTGGTTAAATATAAAAATTCCGGAAATTTATTTTTTCAACCAGTATGGAATTATGGAATTAAAAAAAATTCCGGTTTTAGATAGTATTACCAAATATATAATAATCTTTTCTTTTTTTTATTCGTGTATGGAGTAACCAGAAAAGACGTACTGGCTTTAAATAATCATATTGTAATAAACCACTGAAATAATAAATAATAAAATTAAAGATAAAAAACTTTTTTGCGATATCTGATATAAATTTATTAAATGAAATTTCCGGTATTTACAAAATATTCCAGAAATCTGCTACGCCACGACCGGAACAATTCTGGGATTATAAGATTTTACCGGTTTTATCAGAAATTTACCGGAAAAACTGGTTAAATTATAATGGATTTTCTGCGCTGGATCGAACCCCTACCAGGAATAAGGTTGCTTGTCTAAACCTCTTCAAAATCCTACGATTAGTTTCATCAAAATTTTACTATAGATTTATTATAGTTTCGGCAGAGTTTTGGCAGTTTCAGCATTTATAATAAGTTTTGGCAGTTTCGTCATTCTCCAAAGTTTCGCCAGTTTTTTAATATAACTTTAATATAGTTTTGGCAGAATTTCACTTTTCGGCGAAACGCCATCTTGCCTAAACCCCTAGGTTTCGGCAAGCAACCTTAGCCAGGAAATTTATTAAATCTAACGAAAAAACAAATATCTTTCTATAAAATCCATGGAATTGTCCCAACTTTTCCTTAGTCAAGAACGGGTTCAGCATAGGCTAGCTCATCAAAATAGTATATTAATCATAAAACTTTAACGAAAAAATATGCTTCGCGTCTTCAGCTAAAAAGCAAGTCTAATAAAAATTTAGTAAATGCCCATTGGATATTACGCCCAAAATTCTGGCTAAAATTAAGATAAAGTGCTAGCTGAAATGATCTATTTATTACTTTCTTGTATCTTTGATCAAAGCCTGTCATAATACTAAATAACATAATAGCCTCTACCATATAACGGATATCGGCCACAAGCAGAAGCTGTAGGTTTCCTGCAATCAGAACATGGTATCCATTTTTTAGCTTTCCAATAAAATCGGCAACCTTCTGGGCAAATGCAAGGATTATTGCAAGCCTTTCCAGTATTACAAAGATACGAACATGAATATTCACCAATCATCCTATTTTTTTAACACTAAAATTTGAAAGATTATTAATTAATAAATAGTTAATACTTAAGTTTCGTAATAGCTTAAAACCGTTTTGGCAAGCCTGTAAATACCGCCTTTAGTGACAGCTCTATAACCAGAAACTGAAAAGAATAGGAAATAATTAATTAAAGAAAAAATTTTATAAGCAAGTAATAGCGTGACAGTTAAAGTTAACATCATGGTTAGAAAAACAAGAAGTGATAAAAAAGATACAATCTGTAAACGTTGTAGTCATGAATGCTCAACACCTCAAAAACTTTGTGAGCATCTTAAGCGAAAAAATCCATACAAACCATTACAAAAGCAAAAGGAAGTAGCTTTTATTCAAATGCCAATTCAGGTGCCTATTCAAAAAACTAACCAACAGGCTATCCAAGCTTCCAAAATCAAAGCACAGATAAAAAGCTCTAATGTAAATATGAGCAACAAGGAGAAATCACATGTAATAATCCCAACTCTAGTTCCTGAGCTAGAATCCGAAAAGAAAGCTCCAATACTTGGTATCGATTACATCACTGAAGAAGAAGCAAAAAACTGGATCAACCCAAATAATCAAAAGTCTAAAGAACACTATAGATTTTGGAGAGCTAGATTGCTAAGACGTGGAAAAGAACTTGGTCTAGGAGATCATGATATGCCAGAAAATTTACATGAATGTCAAACTCTTTGTCATGATCTCGAACAACATGATCCAGAGGCAGTTCGCCTACCAACATTAAAAGAGTTAGAGTCTGAAGGCGATACTGGACCTAAGAATTTGATCAATAAAGAATTTAAGCGCTTAGAAGAAATTAAGGGGCACAAAAAGTCAGAGAAGGATTTAGAATTTAAGGAACAAGAAGAATTGGGAACAGCGGTTAAAAGAAGAGTTATAGTTGTACATCATGCAAATGTCCTCAAATCCTATCCAGATAATGGAAGTGATATACAAAAAATGTTAGAAAGCTGAAGAAAACAGTTTAGAGAAATACTTGAAAAGGAATTTGATAAGCATGGACAATTTAAGTTCACTTTATGTTCTCTTACCAAATTTCTTATAGATGATAAACCTGTAAATGAAAAACAGGAAAAAAAGAATTTACGAACTGACTGGCTTAGAAATAGACAAATTATAGTTTATAATAGAAATGAAATAGATGATTACTTAAGCAATACTTTCGAACAAATCGTATACCAAGTGGAGAAGAGAGGAGGTAAGACTAATTCTTGAAAATATATTTGGGTGGTAATACTGTGTCTGGCGGGATGATTTGCAGTTCTTCTCTTACAAATAAGTGTCTAGGACCCTTGTAAAGCTTGTAGAGAATAGGCTGATTTTCTTTTATCAAATAAGAATCAATTGTAAAAACTTCAGGAGACCAATTGCAATCAGTTGCCGTTCTTCTCCTACCTTCTAATTCACCAGGTTCTAATAGATGCCAAACTTTAGTATAGCTAGGTAAAAGTAGTTCGTTATAACCAACTGGTCTCCTATGTTCGACAGAAGATCTAGCTATTATTTTTTTACCTTTTAATGCCTTTTTTACAGCCTTGTTAGAAGATATACCTATTAACAGAGTAGGAGTATTATTGAAAATATTATCATTTATACGAAATCCTTTAAACCATGCCCTGGATCTATCAGTTAAAGGCAAATGAAAATTTTCAGCATCTTGCCGAAAATAAGCATGTTTTTCAAATTATTGATGATCACGTTCAGCAATAGCTACACCACATTTAAAGTTAGCATACTGAATTCTAACATCATAGCTAAGCAATAAATCTCTACATTCGCCCATATATTCAATGCCTCTATCTACAATAAAAGTATTTGGATAGCTAAGAGGGTTATTAGGATCATCATAGATTTTCTGAATTGCTCTAGCCATCTGTTTTATCAGTCAATGCAAAACTAGAACGATACCTAGTTGCAACATCTTTGATGACGCCCCTATACTTATAAATCCGATTACCTATTTTATTATGAGGCATAGAAGTAGTATTACTCTGGTGCACTTCATTTAAAAATTGTATATTATTAAAGAAAGCATACTGAATAAATTTTGGCTAAGGCTTGTGAATCTGATGTACAGCCTGCTTGTTTAGCCAATTTTTGATCTTTGTAAGAGAAAACTTATATCTGGCTTTCTTACAAGCCATTTGCAAATTTTTCAGCAGTCCGATAATATCTCTCAGGTCTGTGATAAAGTTTCTGTAAAGCAAGATCCCGATCTAAATCTCGAGCTTTCTGAGGATTGATATAAATAACTGGAGAGTCAAAGACTCTCCTCTTCCATTCCAATTTTTATAATTACGAAAAAAAGCTAGCATCTATAAAGTCAGATTCTATTCATTAGCTAAGGAGCTTTTTTTCTTGCGTTTCTGCCTAGCCTCTATCTCCTTCTGCAGATTTAGTGGAGTGTCAAACCTTAGGCAGATTGCAAGAGGATCATCCTCTGGCCTAGTAAGATCAAATACAATAAATTCTTTTTTTCAAAAGTAGTTATTAATGACCATTGAAGCATTTTTTACATCATTAGTATAGCGCCTAATAATCTTGCACTTTGTGAATGAGCAAGAAAAATACAAGCAGTCCTTAGCCCAATATATTTTAGGCTTTTTATGCAATGCATCACATTACTACTAATAAAAAATTTGCTTATCACATAAAGACGCAGTAAAAATGAGATAATTGTGACGCAAATTTGGCTTAGCACTCAGAATAATATAAATCAGTAAAAACTGGCTTATCTTTTATTTGTAGCTGTTAAACCATTATACTTTCAAAATGTCATTTTATACCAGTTCAGTAAACACCAGTTTTAGCTGTATGTGCAACTGTTACTCATTTTCATGCTAATTTTCTAGAGATATTCTTAGTAATAATAAACGAATTCCAGATCATATCTTTTATCGAACCCTTTGGTGGGACAAGGGAGAACTTAACGAAAAGGCAAAGTGGGAAGAAGTAACGTAAGTCTCTTTTTCTATTTGTTTGACGTTGATATTTGTTTTAGCTAATGGCTGATATAAATTGTTATTTATATATAAGATTACCTTATGTGCTTGCTAAGGGGATCGACATTGAGAAATATGAAAGACGTACAGAAAAGTTTAATATTCATGGATGTTGGGAGTGGTCAAACAGAGAAGTCTTAATTTACGAGTTGCCTTCTATGCCACACAAAGTTTGCATCAGTGCAATCACTACCGAAATAATTGTGAGTTGCGTTCCTGTAATGCGAACTAATACTGAGATTTATAGTTTTGGTTCTACTAGTAAGTATTAATGTCATAACATGTCGCTCTATTGTAGCATCGTATTAATTTTATTTCTTAAAGAAACGCGTGACAGAAACCGTGGAAAAGAAGCCGATGCATCATTTCGTCCAAAAAAACCAGCTGTAACTGCTCCAAATGGGAGCGACAGAAATGTAATTTCTATTCTTTTTATTGGTTTTGAACTTTTTGAAGCTAGTAATTTCATATATTTTTTTATTTAGAATTATCCTTGGCCAAATTTGGTTGTGAAAGTAGCCTACACTGAAACATTAGATCATATCAAGAAAGCATTGTGCTATTGGTTAAGTCCTGGTCGTGCCCATGATTGTATTATTGTAAAAATCGATCCGGTCCTTCAGGGTCAAGTACCTACTCGTATGAGAGTAAGTTATATTTATACAGTGTGGCATGACTAGCATCATATTATTTGTATAACATTCTATGATTTTAATTTATTGTAGGCTTGGCATTATTGTGTCTCAGCAGGTAGAGGAATGAGAAATTCGCCTCCTCTTGTAATTGAGGTAATGTTAGTTCACTTTTCTGTTAACATATTAAAAATCTTTAACGTATATATAATGATTATTAGTTCGAATTTGGAACACAAGATGGAACTGGAGCTCCATTAAATATTTTGCAAGGTCAACCTCAACACACTATCAGTATCTCATTAACTTGTCTTTATCATAACTTGAAGCAATCTACGCCCCCTACACCTCCTGTTCAAATCCCTCGAAATCTTTTACCTGATCCTATTCTATTGGACTTCTATTTTATTCAACGTGCTATCACAGAAGCATTTGACATTCATTAGGACTTCACACAATATTGTAGCTTTTGTTTTAACAAAATTTTCATATTATGCTGATTGAATCTGTTTAGGTTTATCTTTTAATTACTAAGCATTTTTCTACACTACTAAATTCTATTATCAATAATGCTATATCACTTTGAAATCTTTCATTCATAGATTTCGCAATCTACAATTAGTTATTTTGCTTAGATCAGTTCATCCGTTATTAAATGCTTACCTCTGCAAGGCTCTGTTTATTTTCAAGCTTATTTTACTAGTTCTTCACAATTCAATATCTTTATATGTAAAAAAAATGTAATTATTTTCTTCTCTATGAAAGTATAAGACCCAGTATCATGCAATTATGTGATTTTTTCACTCTGTTTTTGAGCACATTAAAAAAAAATAAATTGTACAAATGCAATTGAAGTTTTATGTTTATTAAATGAGACCCAATTTTCGAAGATGCTCAGAAATAACTATATGTGGGTCTTCATAATACCAAACATAGTACCTCAAGGCAATCTGATTCTCTTTGCATAATTCTTTCTTGAGTTGATCCCGTGCTTGCTGTTTGATAAAATTATTGGGATCGCCATTATGAAATAATATTTTTTTCGTGTTGTATGCCCTGTACTTCGATTGCAAAGCCATTATTCTAAGTAATAAATATCAAGTTCTAATCCTGTAGGACATTCTAATGTTTTGAGAAAATTAGGTTTGCGGATTAGTGAAAAAGGCCAAGATATTTTATTAAAATCTCGTGATATAGCTTTTCTCTTTTATATTTCGGGCAAAATAGGCACCACGAGTTTAAATGTTTAACGTTATCAAAAGTAGCAAACCATCTATGCTTTTTATCACACATCCATAATAAAGCTGAACGATTATTAATATAATATTCAGAAAGACAAGCTCCCTTTCTATTATAAGCCAATTATTTGGCATTATCAAATGTACAAGACCTATTATTTGTGCAATATGGACACCACATCTTATTATTTTTCACATTGTTAAAAGATGCATTCCACTCATGCCTTCAGAACAATAACGCCATGATAAATGTGAAAAACTATTATCCTATATTTTGGAAAGGCATTCTTTGTTCTTACTAAAAGCAACTTGCTTAGCATCTTCAATTGTATGACTGGCCTTATTTGCACAATACGGACACCATGTCTTACCATTCTTAATATTATTAAGAGATGTAGTCCACTTATAACCGTCTGCACATCGCCATCGCATTGGAATGTTAGCATTAACATATTCAGTAGAAAGATAAAGCCCACCACGTTTTCCAGCAATTGCACAAAGCCACAAACATTGTTTATTATCAACTTTTTCATTGCAAATAGATGATTCTTTATCAAAAAAATCAAAACTTTAATTTCAGGAGTAATAAATCTTTATAATCCTTTATTTCGCTTCTCTCGTAACTCTACCTCTTTTTGAAGGTCTAATGGAGTATCAAATCTCAACCGAATTGCCAGTGGATCATCATCTGATTTATTTAGATCAAAGATAATAAATTCACCTTTTCAGAGGTAACTATTAACAACCATAGAGGTATTTTTCATATCTTCAGTATATCGTCCAATGACCTTGGAAATATCTTGATGGGAACTGCCACCATTAAAGACTACTAGATGTAAAATATTTTTACAGATAATTATTGGTGTATGATAGTAACATTGTGTTACATATATATTTGAAATGTTTCTATAACGCCTATGTGTAAAAAATGGAATAATTCGATTTTGGATGGATTTGAAAGCCACACATACATCCTCAAAGATAATTGCTGTGCTTCTCTCAAGCGAAAATGATCTAACACTAGGAATTTTTTCTGGCAATATATAGCTAAATCGTATATTCTCATAGTAAGGCGCTTTTAGATCTTTTGAAATTATGCCATACATATATCTTACAAATGCCTACTTTAGCTCATCAGGATGATAGCCGCAAATTATCAAATCATCACATGCAATATACTGTATATAGCCTAGGGGTTAGATAAATAAACGGGGGGCCAACTCATAGGTTACACAGACTGATCAATAATAACCAGAACTGTCGCCACCATAAATTGGTTACACAATCGAAATCTACTATAAAATTGCGCAAATTTTTACTTTTTTTTAATTTTTTTCAACGCGCATTCATAGAAAAGCAGCCGATCTTAAAAACTAAGATTACTCAAGTTAGGTCTATATAGGAAAAGTGGTTTTATTTCAATTGAGTCACTATAGCTTTTGTAAATTGTTATTTTTTTCCTTGGAATAAGCTAATTTACTGTAGCAATTTACTTTAAGCACCGTTTTAATGTTATTTTTTATTTATATACCAAATATTTGGATAATAGACTTCATTAACAACTATTCTATAATTCAAACTGTAAATATTTGACCCTTTGATATAGCTTCTTTGGAAAAAGAAGTACCCTTTTTCAGGTGTTCTAAAATTAAAGGTATTAAACTCTTTTTTCTTTTGTTATTTATATTATCTCCAAATGCCCAAAGTAACCATTGTAACTCACTCACTAGAAACAATTTTGAGAATAATCCTTCAGCACCATCCAACTGTACCCAGATTTGAAGTTGCACCAAACCAAGCATAGGATCTTTTGGTAAGTTGGACTTTTTTATTAAAGTAGGTATGTTATTTTCAGTATCATTACGCATAGCTTTAAGATTTTCCCTAAGGCTTGAGGTTCCTTTTTCGGGGATGAGATCATTGAATTTTCGCCAGGATTTTTGTCTACTCTTCATATAAATAATAATAATTCTTTCATAAAGAAAATCTCTAGCATCATCTTTTAACTCGTATTTTGTTATATTTATAGAGTCACACGTGGAAAGCATCTGAGTAGAGATATTGATGAGTGTGTTAAAATTTTCTAACAATGGTAAGTTACATAATAAGCTATTGTGTATATATTGAAGAATATTGGGTCCAAATTCCGTATGCTTTTCAAATAATAATAACACTAATGATTCTATTTTATACATAAATTCTAAAAACTTCAGACCGGGAATCACATTTGTTGTTTGAGATCGAACATCCTGTTCATAAACAACTTGTTCTGAATTTAGAGTCATAAGGTGAGTTTTAATTGCTTCAAATTCAGGACGCGATTTTGTTATATTGTCATTCTTTGTTAACTTATAAACAATCCACCCAATGATGTAGGAAAATTTTGACGCCTCAGATGATTCCAAGACAATAATTTTTTCTGGTTTTAAATTATTGTCTGCTGCTAAATGAGTTTGTGAGATATTTGATACTGTTTTTTCACTAAAGGTAATTTTAATAACCTCTTGTAAAAGCAAGTATACAACGAGCCTTTTAGTTGAAGAATCATTTAAATTGGACGCAATAAGAAAATCTTGATACCAGACTCCTGAGCATTTAAAATTATTTAGACAATTTTCAAGGTAAGAGCTCCAAGTAGCTAACCATTGAATTCCTGTTTTTTTAAGAATTGCTTTACAAGCGATATTTTTAATAATATCTTGCCACTTTTGTAGTAATTTATCAATAGAATCCTGATAAAGGATGGTTTCTATAAGTTGGTGGCGTTCACTCTGTAGGCGAAAAATTCTAATATTTTCCTGATCAACATTTTTATGGTATGGTCCTAATGGAAACTTGATTTTCCCCATAATTAAATCATCTGTAAGAAGATTTTTAAACACATTGTGAGAAAGAGATGATATTTGTGCCAAACGAACCAAATGTTTTTGATAAATGTAATTATTTTCTTCATTATTTGTTGTTTTTTGTTTATCTTTTCGATAATCTCTAATTGTAAATAAAATATTTTAATTTATAAAGATGTAATAATAATATAATTTATAACATATGCATACCTTCTTACTAAAGTAGTAATACCAGTTCCAGTACTATCTGTTTTGCCATAATTAACACTCTTTATTTCTGACGAAACTAACATTGTAATTTGATATTTGTTTAAGGCATGTCCATAAGATTTAAGTGTTTGGGTGGAAGAGTCTCCACCAAGTTCTCGGATTGTACCAAAAAGTCCCTCAAGCATATCTTGTGAAATCCTTTTTGCTTGAATCATTGCACTTGGATATTTATTTAAAATATATGTAAGCATTCCAATAAAACCATTGATAGATAAAACCAAATCAAATTGGCATTGTGATGAAATCCACTCTTTAGATTCTGTCTTTTGTTTATCACCACATATAAACCAATCACGAATTTGTTTTAAAGTATTGATACGTGGATCTTCTAAAGATTGAAAATTAATTTTACTATGCATTATTTCACGATACTTTCGTGAATATTTGATATAATCCTTAAAATAAATTATTATTATTAGTTTTTTTTAAAGAAATTAATTATTATAAATTAATAATTACTTACTCTTGTTCCTTCTGATATATTTTTAAGTTCTTTAATAGTTGCTAGTGCATCTTCAACTTCTTTTGATAATGTATGCTCAGCAAGATCAACACGCATCTTACTCCATGAAGTAAGCCATATATGTCATTTTGTAAGTTTGGTAGCTTTAGCAGTTGCATGTTTATTTGTATATTCATATACACCTTTTATATGTTTCCAACTAATTTCCTTTTTATTAAACATTATTTCTCTTGCATTTTTTTCACCTGTATGACTTTTTGATATGTTGTTTCTAAGTTTTTTAAAAACATGTGTTGGATCACTAATAAAAAACCACTCTTCTCCTGTAATAGGATTGATTGTTTTATAATTTAATAAAATTTCTTGATTATTATAAACAGGTCTAAGAAACTTACTAATATGATAACTAAAAACTTTCCATCCCTTTTTTGCATATATTCCTTCTATAATTTCTACAGATAATGTTGTTTCAACTGGATCAAACTCAATAATTTTTCCTAAGTACCATTTATTATCATCTGGATTTCTAAATTCGCATATTTCATTGACATTCCATTTCAATTTTGAAGGCATTGGTGGACGAATAAAATTTCGTTCAATTTCAATATTTTTAGGATTATTACAATCAAGTTGACATACAGTAAATTTTGTTTTTTCAAAATTACTATTTATAATTTTTGCTGCATAAAAAGATGTTTTATCTTTATTAAAATTAACTTCTACAATATCACCACAAGTCCATTTTGATGCATACCAATCAAAACTTTTAATATGAATTCTATTTTCTCCTGCTCCATCACAAATTGATCCACATGTATATATACCTATACACTCTAATTTTGCTGCAAGATTAAAAAGTAATGTATTTAAACTATGTATTGATATATTATTAATACCATAATA